ACTAATTAATGGAAAATGATGTATGTGAAGTGAACCTAAGCCAAATTACGCTTTGGTCAATATTACCACTAAATTTTATGAAAACATTCCACAAATCGAGTGATTTACACGATTTAACTCAATCGGAAGGTATAAATTACCATATTGTACACACTAAGGCTAAATGAACCCAATATACTGTGATAAAATGGAAAGGTTATATTTGTCCATTTCATCCCCTTCAAAGTAATTCCCTCCCGCTGCAATACACTTATGCCAGCGAATTTTCTAGTCATCGTGGAACTTGGAAAAATCCTCCGTCGTGATGGCCATTTGAGCCTTCTTCGATTCAACTCTTATATCATCATTTGAGTCAAAACGGTGTCCTCGGAGAGGTTATGTGAGTTTGCTGAATAGCCAGAAGTTACACGAAGATAAATCAGGCGAATGCTGTGGTTGCGGCACGATATTAGTTGGAAATGTAGCGAAATGATCACGAATCACCAATGCAGTATGAGATGGTGCATTATCGCACTTCTTTGTTCAATTAAGACAGAGTAAAAATCGACGAAGCGTATCTCAAATACTAATTAATATTTTGACGTGAAATTTAGCATAGATGTCAGAAAAAAATTTATCGATTCGAAAAATTAAAAATTCAACTTTCAATTTGATCACAGTATATATTATATGTATGTACGTATAAAATTACTTGGATTCCGATCCTCAGGTTGACATTTTACAACTTAAGGTTTATGTACATATAACTCATACACTTTCCGATATATTCACCATAGTGTTAGTTAGAAAAACGAAAATCAATATACAAGGTGCTTTCCAAAGTAAACAGAATTTTAAAAAAATACGAAACAAATGAGTTTTTCATAACGCTTTCCTTTCATGTGCAAATGCATTTTTCCGAAAAGGAAGAAGTCGCACGGTGCCATATCAGACGGATACGGGGAGTGCTTAATGGTTAAAATGTGATTTTTGGTCAAATAATCGGTATAGAGCGTCGATCGATGAGACGGATTCTGAGCAATTTTTGGTAGTCAATCAATTTGTGCGGAACAAACCGTGCACACACCTTTAGTAAGCCCAAATGTTTGGTCAAAATGCGATAAATCGATGTTTCGGAGATATTCAATTCCATTTCCATGAGTTTGAATGTTGATTTTGGCTAATTTTTGATGCATTCACGCGCAGTTTCGATGGAAGTTCCAGTGATCGCGGATTTTGATCGTCACTTATATCCTCACGGGCACTTTGAAAACGTTGAAACTACTCGTGCACTCTGCTACGGGATATGCAATCATCGCCATAAACTTATTTCACCAATTGAAACGTTCCGGTAAAAGTTTTATCAATTTTAAAACAAAATTTATGTTTGCTTTTTGTTCGAAGCTCATTTTCAGACCGATAACACAAACATACTGACACTTTGAACGCAATGCACTGTACTTCCAATCGATGAAATGTTATGAAATTCTCACTGGGCAATTGATAAAGATAGCAGATTCTAACGCACCAGTTTTGGCTGACATATGCAGCATAAAGTGAACTGGAAGTTCGAAAACCGGAAGTTCGAATATACCTGATATGGGAGGGAACGTGATTCAACACAATTTTGATACATAGGCTTCTCTCTGAAGTTCAATTGTATATCCCATACATTGACCGTTGCTTTCGATTAAAAGTCAACAATAGGTACTGTAGTCCATATTTCCTGTTTTTGGGGACTTGAAGTGTTTTGGTTGAATTTGGAATAGTTTTGGTCATAACGTGGCATATTTTAATATCCCTTTATATTAACTACTGTCTTGATTTGTACATTGGAAAATGAAATAATCAAGTAGGCGTGGCTGTAGTAAAATTTCGCCCATTTTCGCACTCTGACATTTAGTCGAAATTGGTCGGTCGGATCACGAGATGTGGGATTTAACCAAAAAGTAGGGGAGTGCCACACTTAATGATTGTTGTTTATATGGGGTCTAAAGCAAATTTTTTCATTCTAAGTTCAAATATACACCGTTATTAGAATATGTAAATTATATTAAGTTAACCCACATATGGGCTGATATATGCGGTATAAAGTTACGCGGAAGTTCGAAAAACTTTACATTAGATATATATTGACTATTACACAGACATACCACTATCAGGAACTAATTCTCTTCAAATTTAATTTTAAATAAAGCTTGTTTTACGCCTCTACCACGAAATGGGATCCAAAGTTTCGCTGGTTTAAATGTCCGCTTAGCTAGGTACCAAATTACCTTATATTATATTCTCTCCCTATTATTTTTTTTCTAATTTAGAGAAATCACATCCATCAATAAATAATCATTTAGGTTTTAGAACTTAGTAAGATATTTCTCACTTTATGACCGTTAAACGATATGTACATACATACACACATATTTACATATATAGGATCTTATATGCGGCCTCATACATAATTTCTCACAAAGCTTTGAAGCCTCTTATGCTCAATGCTTAATTAAAAAAGTATTTACAGATCTTTTAATTGCGAAGTGACTTAAGGGGTATTTTAGTCTAGAAATTTGAAAAAATGGAAATTTTTCCATAATTCGATAGTTTTGATATTCAAAAATATCTCCCTAAAAGTATTTTTCAAAACTCAAATTACTTTCAAAGTTATAGCCATTTTAGTGGCGTGGCAACTAGACCGGTTGAGCGAACTATCCATCTATATATTACGCTGCCCGAAACTTAACGTAAAACTTTAAACGCGTTTTTCTCAAAACTCCTTTTTTTGATGCGGTAGCCACAATATCTCAAGTTCTAATCAGTCGATTTATTTGAAATTTGGCATATATTCTTTAAATATATCTCTATCACTAGAAGCAACAAGAAATAAAAATTTGAAATTTATATTTAAAAAAAAATCGACAAAATTGAAAAATTAGTGAAAAAATCGACCTTTTTTTTGAGTAGCCGCCATTTTATGAGACATTTTTTATATTTTTTTTGGTGCTTCATGACATAGCGACATTCGTACTCATTAAGAATCTGTCAATTTTTTATTTTTCAGATAACGACTTGGGTACAAGTCATGGCCATGGGGACACGGCCTCCTTTTTTCCCCCTTTTCTTCAAGGACGCATAACTCGTTGATTTTTTTTTTTTGTTTTTTTATTTTGTGTACTATTCTAAGTTTAATAAACAAATGATAAAAAAAACGGATAGTAAAAATATCTAGTGTTCCTTTTTTATTAATTGTTGAAGAAAGCTCGAAATTCGATCCTCTAGGCTAGAATGCTCCCTTAATTAATGAGAATTGAAATCGTGACATATACGGCGGAATGGTTTGTTTAACTCGAAATTTGTTCTAAAAAATTTGAAAAGTAAAGGTCTAAACTGCCTGTTAGAGCGAGCGGGAATGTTAAAGTTAATATCAGACAAGAGAGATGGGCTACAGACTGACCCATTGATGAGTTTTACAAGAAATATTATACCAAGCTTTTCCCTACGACTAGCGAGTGTAGGGAGATTTATAAGTTTTAAACGGTTAGTGTAAGGGCGAAGATTTAAACTGGAATCCCAATGCAAATGATTTAARGMAAAAAGTAAAAATTGTTTTTGAACGGACTCTATTTTCTCAGAATGAACTTGATAACAAGGGTTCCATACCACGATGATGTAAAAATAATTTCTGTGGTAAGCGGATCTCTAAATTCTTTAGACCAACGTTTAACAAAACTTAGAGCACCTTTAGCTTTAAAAACCATGGAAGATGTGTGAATCATGATACATGTCTACAGATCTACGTGAAAAGCACATCGTTTTACATTTTTTAAGGTTTAATGGCATGTCATTTCTAACACACCAAGAAACTAGGTTGTTTAAGTCTGTTTGCAACTGACATCTTTCGCTATTCGAGGTGAATGATTTAAAAAGTTTTACATCGTCAGCATATAATAAAACGTTTGAAAACTTAACAACAGATGATATGTCATTAATAAATAACAAGAGCTGAATTGGACCAAGATGGCTACCTAGAGGAACGCCTGAAGGAACATTGATTATGTCGGAAAGAGTATCGTTAAATATGACTTGTTGAATTCTATTACTAAGATAAGAAGCAACCCATTTTAGAAATATTGGTTGGAAACCAAGAAGATCAAGTTTCTTCAATAGAATTGTATGGTTTACTTTATCAAAAGCTTTACTAAAATCTGTGTATATAACATCAGTGTTCTTATTCTCCCTAAAGCCCGTTGATACATGTGATATAAATTCAAGCAAATTAGTTATTGTGGATTTCCCTTTACGAAAACCGTGCTGAGAACAAGAAATTAGTGGAGAGATCCGGAAGGTTATGTCATCTGTTATAATTGCTTCAAAAAGTTTAGGTAYTGCAGACAACTTTGCTATTCCTCTATAGTTTTCAATAGATGACCTAAATGCACTTTTATGCAAAGGAATTATAAATGACTTTATACATTTAAAATCTTCATAAAATCTATATACATGCTTAAGTAAAACAAAAACAAAGTTCTTCTCTAAGCTAGGTAGGATGTCATTTTGAATGTTTTAGACCGCATTTATACAGTAGTATATTGGCATAATTTAAAACTTGTAAAAAGTTCAAACATCATCAAATTGGTCAGATGTACCATATTTGAATACTACTATCTGATTCAGCTTCGAGAACAAATAAATCGACACTTCATGCAGATGTCGCATCGACGTACACAAATTGCCATTTGTATTGATGTTGCGGATTCGTACGCCCAATGCATTTTCATTCAAACTAATATACTATGTGCGCACAAGTTCTATGCGCTTCTGATATGTGGGTAGTTGCTGTCGAAACGGCCAAGTGGCAACTGGTAAATTACTTTGATTCACAGTTCAATGTTTTCAATGTTGCGGTTGCAGGGAGAAGTGCACTTGAACCAGCTACTCTTAAGAGTACCAACAAATACATACGTACCTTTAACAAACTTATACTCGTATGTGACGCTTATATATACATACGTATGCAAAGCACTTACATAACGCTCGATGCCCGCCGCTGCAGCACACGCAAAGCTCCGATGTCCTTGTGCGGAGGGACTCGATGTGTAGTCGGTGGCGCGCATAAACTTTGACTGCGGTCACGTACGTTCTCCTCGCGATATGATCGAAAGATGGTGGCCAGTTTCAGATTGAAGCACAACATGATTGCCAGTCGAGAAGCCTAGTTTCTTGTTATTGTGTAAAAGTATTTTTTTTTTTTATAGTAAGCGAGTTTTACTTTTATGGTACATACAAAAACATTTTGTCACAATGCATTTTTGATACTATGTTATATCGAAATCTCGATTTGCTGTTCGACTTTTATAACATATATTTTTTCTATGCTTTGTTTTAATTTTCTAGCTGAATAAGGTTTGAGTTGTAGAGTTCGTTGTTTAAATTGAATTACTTTTATTATTGATAGTTGATTTGTGCGTACAATCAGAATATTTCTATGTTTTTGAAAACCACTTAATTATTTAATTCAATTTAAAGTAAGCTCAAATTAACCTATTATCAGCAGCTCAATTTTGAATGCAACAAAGTGGCTAAAGAATTTCAAACCATGCTTAACTTCTCTAATAATTAAGGAAACAGTTACTATCGCTTTACAACTGGAAGAAGAAGAAATTCCTCCAATTTTAAAGCTCTATTTAAATTCTCTCTACAGTTTAATATTTATTGATTTTTTAACTGTTTTACTAACTCATAAGGCGACCTTAAACTAATGACTTTTTGACCCAAAAACGGTGACGCGCTCTAGTTAAATAAATACTCAGAAATATGCATGTGGAACCGAATAAAATAAGCAAACTGTCTTAAAAATTTTGTTTGTGCCAAAAATGGAATTTATTCTTACTGAATAAGTGTTGAAATACATAGATATATATAGGTGTTTTGGCGTTTAACCAACAATGTTACATAGTGAGAGGAACTGGAAAGCAATGAAAGCTAAAGCATACATCTAAGAAACAGGGGAAGCGTAAAAGTTTAGCAAGTGGTTCAATCAAGAACAAATGATATCTGTAACAATTCGACTCAATGGTTAAAAATTATATATTTTTCTTGAACGCAATAATGTAAACTTGGTGAAATAAAAGTGGGCACCTATCGAAAGTTTATGAAATTAATTATCATATGCTCATTTGTGTATATACTCCAATGTGTGATGTAGTAATGGAAATTATAACTAAACTATATATGTATACTATATATTCCTAGTCATACACTTTCGTTGCAATGCCTTAACTAGCTTAGAACTGAAAGTCGATAGCAAACTTGAGGGGTGTGATTGTGCAAGTGTGTTCTACAATGTTTGCATAGTGACTTGATGAACTTAAAAGTGTGTCAGAACAAGTACCCATGTTTACATAAGTAGGCAACTAACATGTGTTACACATGTGTGCGTGTAGGTTTCCCTTATCAATTTCGGTACCATTCATTGGAGAATTTGCAATGCATTTTTCGTGCACAATATTACGCGCACAGCGTGTCTAGCACTTTGTTTATACTAGAACAGCATGGCCGACCTAGTTAAGCACACATGCCGGGTGTGTGCTTGTGTGCGAAAGTGTAACATATGCACTGGCATTTGACTATTATTATAAAAACAAGTAAGGAGAGACTAAGTTCGAGTGTAATTTACCAATTTGTATTTTCACAATGCGTAAGGATCAAAGCCGGAGAAATACTTTCAGCTGTTCACAAAGCTTTACATTAAACGAGAAATAACAAGAAGCCAATACAGCCTTCATACATGTTTTGCATGTTTTTTAGTATAAAGCTGTGTGCTATCGTCGTAAGATATCGGCGGTTCCGATAAATGAGAAAAGTATGCGCGCAAAGTTCACATACAGACCGACGGACGGATGGGCATGGCTAAATCGACTCAGCCAATCATGCTGATGATCATATATATTATCATCTTCATATGATCTCCGACATCTATTTTTGGTTGTTACAATCTTTGTTTGAAACTTAATATATTCCTTTCAGAGTATAAAAATATTCAATAAAATTGGGTAACATATAATAAAAATCATATAATACTTAGTTATCTGAGATATTTATATTAAAGAAATCAGCTATAGAAGTTGAGGTCTTTATGTTTGGTATCAATGACTCTGAAGATGTATAGAAGGAGACGTCAAAAACTGATTTCAATCATTTTTACCTCGTGATATAAGAATAATGAATATATGATGACCAGATTGGTAGACTAGTTTCTGAGGAGCAGGATTTCACCTGAGAGTGGGCCACACACGAACTCTGAACTGTACTAAAAGTTAATGTTTCTGACTGCATTGTGGGTCAGATTTTTTCACGATGTCCTCCATTTTTGCTTTGTTTGAAAATGTGCCGGAATAAATTGTACTTAGAATGTTTGGTTGATATAGCTTGAGTCTTTGGTTGTAAATATACACATTAAATTTATTAGGCGATGAGGTCACACCTACTAGATTTTTTTCCACTAAATGGAATTTTATGAGACTAGCAATGGCAACCCAGCTGTCTTATCAAAACATCGCAAGCATATCAAGAAACTCCAAGCTGTCAAGTATAGTCAAGATATCTCAATTTCTACCCCAGTAACCCGGCTTACACCCGGATTAAAGTTTGCCTTGTCATCGACTCGACTAGTTTCCGGTATTACAAACAACCGTTAGTTGACAAAAGTATTCTACTCTGAGCAACATGTTGCCGCAGTATTGTATGCTTATAAGGCAATTTACTTGTTAATCAAAAAAAATTTATATTTTACATGAAAATGTGTATGAATACAATTGAAATTTGGTTTAGACATCACTGGCAGCAAAGTTATTGCCGCTTTTGTGTATTTTTCAATTTACTCGCATTCACTTTTTGTAATGGTTCTTTGTCAAGTTAAGCCAACTGCCGTACCGTCTGTATGTACATTGAAAGGCAATAAAACATACCTGTATGTTAATTTGTTTGCAGGCACATTACTGATATTTAGCCAGCGTAACTCAATTTAACTGAATACACACCCAAAGCAGAAGTCTTTTATCTTCCGCTCGGTTTATGGCTTTTAATATAGCCGACTAGACAGACTGTGACTATGAAGTGAGCGAATCATGGTCTTACGATATTCTACGAGCATAATATATTAAAAGAAAATAATGTAATGTAATGACATATTCTWTATCAATTCTTGAGTACATTTTTAAACAAAACTCAAAATCACTTTTATTAAATTAATAAATATTAATTATAATGCTCATATATATGAACATATATGTATGTTGCGGGTATTTTGTAAGTATATTTTTAGTAAAAATTAAATGTTTTTCAAAATATACTAAGATGAGAATACATGAGACATAACTCGCAGCAATTACGACGCAGTGTGAGAAAATTTTAAAAAACTTTTTGGAAACGCGTTTGACTTTTGACCGCTAGCTATTAACACAATTAGAACAGAAGAAAAGTTGACTGCATTTCCAGGGGATTGCTATGTACACCGGAGATCAAGTGGGCAACAGCATTAAGTTGTGGTTGTCGAGTGTACCAATACCTATATAGACCAAGAACCCTACGTACGAGTAATGAGCGTAGTGAATAGTCCAATTAACACTAGAACAAACATATCTTTATGTGGGTATCAATGCAAATTTTTAATTGGCCATGAGCAACAATATTTTTGTTACTCTTTTGTTTTCATTTGGCCGCGTTTGGAAATAAAAACAGCTTTTAAACTCGCTCTAACTGTAGCACTTCATGAACTTGCATATATTTTTCAACCCAAATATTCACATTCGAACGAATGTGTGTGTATATTACTTCTGGTTAGTTTTCTTGCAAAGCAATCGCTTATCACATTTGCATATATTCACTTCAACACTTGTTTACTTTTCGCTGCTACGGGTTGCCCATTTTATGTTGAGCATGGTGTTACACTACGCTTCAGTAAACCGTTAAGGAGCTGGCACATTTGGGCTCTTTCAATATGATTAATCCGCTGTGAACATTTTTTTATTTATTGTAGTTTCTGTACAGTCGAATGCCTTAGCGCCTAAAAGCGCACTCCGCACCATTCACTAACATTTAATCTTGTCAACTGCTCGCGTTCGTCTGGTCATGTGAGTGTTAAAGTGGCGTCGTCGTAATACCTTAGTCAACAATCCACATAATATTTGGACTGTATTGTGATGTCATAGTTGTGAAGTATATAACAATTGCCTTTTGACACAAATTCGTATTTACCTAAGTATGCAGTATACATATACGCAACTGTCGCATGGTGGATTGTATCGCGTATTGCGCATGTTCAATGTTTATTCGATAAAATCTTTATGTGTATTGTGGTAAGTATATATTATATATAAAGCAGTCAAATGGCGGGAAAATAGTTAAGTTCGCTTATCAGTCAAAAAGCTCGGAGACAATGGTAAAGCTCAGTAAATGAAAAGCTCTGGTGTGGAAAACTGATAAAGCAATGATGTAGATAATTGTACATAAGGTGGTGTATTTAAATTTTACATTTTGTGGTTAGAAAATTTAGTGGGAAATTGAAGACATATACTAGAAGATTCAATAAATATCGAGAATTTTGTATTTTTATGAAAGTATTTATTTATTCATGACTATCTGTATTGTCAGATTTAAAGTAATCAACACAGGTATATTAAGAAACTAATTTGATTTTGTTTAGAATCTCGATACAGTTTATATCTCCTCCATCGTGGGGGAGCGTCGTTCCTTCCTGGGAATCTTTCGTTTTGGGATAAAAAAGTCAAAGCGTCCATATCTGGGGAAAACCGAGGGTGCTGCGCTGTTTATATATTTTGGACAAATATTCATGTACAAGCGCTGATGCGTGAGCTTTGTTCATGTAAATTAGTAATGTTGTCATATTTTGTTGTCGTACTCATCATGGATTGTTTCAGCGTTCACATCTTCTCGATCCGCTGTTGCTGTTGTCCAAGCTAGCTTTACCATAGCCATAGTCACCATTCGGAATGCATTCGTGCACTTAATCTTTTTTTTTTTTTTGTTTTTTCTTTTGAGCACAGATTAGTTAATTAATTTTTTAGAATAAGCGAAAATTTTATATATGTCTAAACAAAACAGATTTAAAATAATGTTAGTTCTGGTTAAGCGAATTGTAGTCCGGATAAAGTATTACTCACAATTTCAAGAAAA